ACTGCCCCTACCTATAAGGCTTCCAGCAAATTAGCCTCTAATGATAATTGATTTAAAGAACTATTTCTTTACCATCCTTCTGCACCCTGAGAATGTGCCAAGGTTTACATTTTCCATCACGGCCTTGAACGATGCACACCCATGCAAAATTACTGCTGGGCTGTCCTTCCTCGGAGGATGCAAAACAACACGACGAGAAATCAGACAATTATCATACACCATCATGTAGATGACACATTAATAACCACGGCCACAAGAAATGAACTACCATTTGTTATTACTGCTTTAACCAAAACTGTCCAAGATGCAGGACTTCAGGTTGTTTCAGAGAGGATCCAACCATCACAACCCTGGACTTATCCTGGATGGAGGATCACACAGCAAGAAAATTCCACACAGCCACTGCAGCTCGAGGTAAAGGATACTTCAAGTTTACATGAGTTGCAAAAACTCCTGGGAGCCATAAATTGGTTAAGGCCTATTTTAGGCATAACCACAGAGGAGCTACACCCTCTATTTGTGCTGCTAAGGGGGGACTCTGACCTAACGTCTAACAGGTCTCTGACAGCAGAGGCAAAGCAGGTGTTAGACATTTGTGCCAAGGCAATAGAGAATAGGCAGGGTAGAAGGAGAAATCCTGAACTGCAAATCTGCCCAGCCTTAGTTCCCAGCAGGTACCAGCCATTTGCAGTCTTGTTTCAGTGGGATCAAACTGAGAAAGACCCGCTGCTAATTCTGGAGTGGCTCTTTCTGCCCCATACGCCACCTAAGACTGTGTGGCCCATTAACGAAGTGTTTGCTAAGCTTGTCATTAAAGGCAGAGGACGACTGCAAGAACTGGACGGAAGGGGTCCTGCCATTGTCTACATCCCAGCTATGAAGGACAATTTGAATTAGATGTTGGCTGAGGATGCAGGATTCCAAGCTGCCTTGGCAAGCTTTAGTGGTAATATTTCAATCCATCTCCCTAAACACAGACTGTGGGCAGAAATCAGTAATTTGCCTTTAAAGGCCACTACCAGATGCAAAAATGAACCAGTAAAAGGCCTCACAGCCTTCACAGATGCATCTGGAAGAAACATGAAAGGCTGCAATGACTTGAGTAAACCCTGCCACAGAACAGTGGGAACGAGAACTACAGACCATGAACCAAACTTCTGTACAGGTTCTGGAACTGGCTGCCATTCATATTGCCTTGGGGAAATTTTCTGAACAACCCTTTAATGTTGTAACTAATTCCTGTTATACTATAAGGTTAATCCCCCGTCTTGAAAGTTAGTTTCTTTGAGATATTGTTAACCCTCACCTGTTGTTTGAAATGTGTTCTGTTTGGTTTCTTGTGATTCATAGAAGGTTTGATTTCTGTATAATACACACAAAATCACATGCTAACATGCCAGGGCCAATAACTGACAGAAACTGAGATACATATCCACAAAAACATAACTGCCACAGCATCCACTGAACAAAACACCAAAAGTGTAAAACACACTGACTTAGTTGCTTAGCAACCTTTGGTACCCCAAAGCAGATTAACACTAATAATAAATCAGCTCCACTTCCTATCAAATAGGAAATTTCTCACATCACAAACATTCCACACTAACTCATAAGACAGGCAATTATTGAAAGAGCACATCACACATTGAAACACATGTTCAATGAACAAGAAAAAGGGGGGAGAATCTGTATAGCCCGCAAGAACATCTGTAAAAAGCTATATATGTTATTAATTTTTTAAATTGTGACAGCACTGAAAAGAGTAAGTATGAAAAGCAACATAGGCCCCAGGCTTATGCCTCTCCCGAACCATCGGTCATGGTAAGAAACTTGAATTCAGGACAGCGGACGAGATCCCTAGATTTTGTGACTTGTGGGGGAGGCTATGCCTGTGTGGCTACAGGAAAAGAACTTGGGTGGATTCCTTCCAGGTGTGTAAAACCCTATTTAGGTACACAACCACAACAGCAAGAACCAGAGTAAAGCAGAAGTTATAAAAGAGTTATGTTTATGTTTCAGGTTTACATTAAGGGACGAGCAATGTGGCAAAAAAGCAGTCAGTAAAAATCTGTAAATGTGTGTGTGAGATGAATGAAAGGCGGCCGCCGATGAATGAAAATGAATGAAAAGAGTGAACGAATAAAGACAGTTGTTTGACTGGACAAATATTAAAACACAAAACACCTCACGAAATAACATTACCTCTGCCACAAGGTCACTTTAAGAGAATTTAGTTTTGCTAAGTTTATCCTGTTTCTTAAATAAAGTTGAACTCCCCAGTTATTTAAAAACCCTCAGGTTAATAAAGGTAATAAGTTTATACACGGTTGGGCTAAGACCCTAAGTTAATAAAGTTATTTCTCCAAGTTGTACTACCCTTTAGGAATATAAGAAGGTTTTAAAAGGTTTACAATAGAAGTATAAGAGGCCAAGCAAGCGATGTGCTGGGTCATTACGAGCTTTGGAAGTTTACAACGTACTGTTCTGATTGTTTGCACTGTTGTTTTTGCACTGTTTTTGTGACTTCTTTAGATAATTAAGAGGTGGGTGATGTAGGAGGCGTGTCCAAGGCACAGGGTAGGTGCCGGGGCAGAGGAGCCCAAAAGAGCATGCACTGACATAGACAACCTTATTGGTCAAAGAAGTCACATGGTTTGAAGGGATAAAACCAGCGCTGATTTTGAAATAAATCCTCTTTGTTCATCATCTCACAAGGAGCGTGCTTCCTTCTTTACCATGTAAAGTACCTGCCACGCTACACCTGGGAACTGTGAGCCCTATGCTTTCAACTCTGAGCCCCTCTACCTGATTTGGGAGAATTGCCCACCTCTCACTGCACAACAGCCTGGAGAAAGAAGCTTTTTTCACCTCCAAGCTTGGTAGATCATACAACTAAAAGTAGAAATTTATTTTTTTTTTTCAAATTTGAATGTTTTAATTTATGCGTCTGATTGATATTATGCAGTAATTAAATTATATTCCCATGGTGCCTCTAACAACAGGGTTGTAATAATACAATTTGCTCAGTGAGCAAACAGCAAATTCCAGAAGAATTAGCTGGCCAACAGTGTCTGAGGTGAGGAAAGCCAAAGAGGAATGAAGAAGAGCTAATTTGTGCTGGAGTGAAATGAAAATAACAGGAAATGTTTTTTAAGAGAACACCCCTGCCAAAGAAAACAAGAATGCAATCTTAAAAGATGCTCTGAGCCATAGTTATCAGCCTGCAGCTCAGTTCTGGGAAGATACTTCACTTTGACATGTCACACCCTGCCCTGAGTCCCTACCAATGCTCATACCTCTTATTATGTTCTGATGCAGAACTAAATAAAGGGTCAGTACAGCAGCACCCACAGGGTGCCTTCAGCCAAGGAATGTTCCTAAGCTGTCTCCCAACTGAAAATTGCTTGAAGATAACAAGTGATAATGGCACTTCACTGCACTCCCTCAGAGTGCCAGTGGCACTTTGGTGTGGGAATTTGGGAATGGGTTCCTAACCAGTTGCTCCCACTAATCTCAAGGTAACTGCAATGCTGCAAAGGCAACTTTGAGCTGCAGAAATGTCTGGAATAGGAAGACCCAGGCATCAAAAGCAGTTTGAAATGCATCTGGGCATAGGACTCAGGAAAGACAGCATGGGTCATAGGAAATGAGAGTAAGTATCTTGATGGTGCTGCAGACTTTTCTCCCAAGGCTTCCTCTCTAGCCATCAGAGAATCACAGCCAACATATAATTCAGAGTAATTCCAAGCATTTATCTCTTGCTCTGAATTTCCCTTTGGAGGTACTGATTTCTTTCTGTTAACTACTCAGGAGTCAGAAGAGACTAGGCCTCCTGCCCCAGTAGTCCCTGAGTAAGTCCAAGAGGAGTTCAATGTTCTGCTGCAGTACAGTTCCTAGAGATATAGGCTCTGTATCTATCTTCAACTCAGTTCTAAGGATGATGTACTAGCACCTGAGTAACATGAGAACTTAGCAAATCTTTGCAAAAATTTACAGTTTAGGGTATGGTGAGATCCCAAAGGCAGAAAAAAGGCTGCTGCCTGTTCCAGAGCTGGATCAGCTGAGGGCATTGTGTCTAACCTTCAAAAGAAGTTTGATGTAAGGACTGGATGGGAGCCAAGGGCTTGGGCAGCATAGGTTGCACAGTGGGAGTGTGTGTCTTGGTGCCTGCAGCTTCTCTCCTAAGAGCACCACTGTGGAGCAGCTCCACAGTGTGCTCCCTGACATGAGGTCGCAGCTCTGTCCAGCACGAGCCCCATCTGCCAGCACCGAAGTCTTTTTTCTCTGAGCTTCTGTTTTTTGCTCTAAATGTGTGGAAGCAGCCTCTGTGAAGGGAGAACAGGGAAAGAGAAGAATAGAGGAGAAAGACATAACAAAAGGATTCAACTTAGAGCCTCCCTTTTCCTAAACAGATTACTCTCAGGCCCCTGCTGGTAGAGCTAGGTCCTCCTTTTCAAACTTGGGAAGTATTTAGGACAGTGGAAATTTGTGGAAGTTATATGGTAGTAAAGAGGCTCTGCCATTGCACACACTGAGGAGCCTTTCCCAAGGCAGAACTACATACTCTGGAAACATAGGCAGCGGATGACAAATCCTGGCACAAGGAGCCTTCTTGGGTCTTCCCTCACACTGTTGTTGAATGGTGTCAAGTGATGCTTCCTCAAGATGTGTTTTGTGTTGGAAGTAGCCTGATTTCCCCTTTACATCTTCCACTGACCGAGAAGCTCACCTGTTGCTCTTTCTTTCCTGACTTTCACCGCAGAAAAAAAGAGTATGTGCTTCAAAGGAGAGGTTACTCAGTGCAGAGGGCTTAGGACAGCTGTTCTGCACAGGGCCATAGAGAATTCCTCTACAAAAAGATGAAGTATAAAAAGATCTGTGCATCGGACTTCCTGTATGATAGGTAATATTGCAATCTGAGCAGTTCTTTCTAGCTCAAAACAGAAAAATATTGTGCTTTGGTAGTTCCCTCAGAAAAACCCAAACAAACAAAGTATTTCTAACAATTTCAGTTTTGATCTATCAAAAAAATTCAGTTAAAAGAAAATTGAAGATGTGCTCTTGCCAGTTGGACTGCAGTTGAATCAGTATCAAATATTTTAGAGACAAATAATTTTGAAAGACCATACCCTGTCCAACCTCTCAAAAAGGTCAGTGTGATATATTCTGTGATTTTTATTTTCTCAATTACAAAATGTCATTGAAACCAACATCTTCCTGCAGCCAGGTTTCCCTTTTGATTAAATTGTATTTTCCAATGAAAAATGTTCTAAGCAGACATAAAATGATTGTTGTTATATGCCAAGTGTATACAACAGGTTCCTTTCTTGGGGGGCAGCAGGAAAAGAGAGGTGTAGTAAATTGTCAGACTTGCTATAGAGTTGTTTAATTCAGTGTCAAATTGATGATGCTGCTTGAGAAAAATATGAACAGGGCCTCTCACTGATCCTGCAGCTGGCTTGAGCAAGGGCTAACACTGAAATGATGTCTGAGTCCTCATGTCCTGATGTTTCAGTGAGGCATAGAGGAGCACCCACACCAGCCGTTGGCCTCACTCCCACTTCACCTTGCATAACAAGGCTTGTTGTAAATCTGGTCCTTTGGGGAGATCAGGATGAGCGCAAAGATGCTTTGGTGAAGGTCAGGCAACCTTTACTGCTGCCTCAGTGGGTGGAAGAAGACCATATTGATTATTTTACCTTTTATATCAACTATAAATTCTGACCAAAAGAAACCAAGACTCCCTTTAATTCCTATTTGCATATTAACTTTCATACCCCTTAGAATACAAACGAAAAGAGAACATGCCTTACATGTATGACCACAGTCACCAACAGCCTACTTATGACACAGAATTGATCTACCTCTTTGGGAAGGGCCAAAATTATTGTATAAAAGAAGCGGGGGTTTCACAACAAAGAAAAAGATAAGAGAAAAAAAAAAGAAAGAAAATGAGGGGGATAAAAACACCTCTGCTTGCTCGGGATCAGTCAAAGGACTGTGTCTCACCTCCTCCACCGAAGGGATACTTTTAGGTGAGATTTTTTGCCTCCAACTGCATTGGAGCAGATTCAGGAATATTTTAATCTATCTATCTAATAGATCTTTGTTACTATACCTTCTGTCCTAACACATATTCACACACTGCAGTTAGTGTATTTATTACCAGCAATCCTGGACCTGCTCTCTTTTTGCTTCAGTAAACTACACTATTTGTTATATTTGGAATGTGCAAGTTTTTATTGCGCTCAGCCAGACCTATAGTATAAGTAAATCACACTATTTGTGAATCTCTGATCGCGAAACCTCTTATTGAACATGACCAAACTCATAGTGCTGAATTGGTAATAATCAGAAACAAATCCTGGCTGTATCTGAGCCCTCAGATCTCTGAGGCCCAGCAAGGGGGGTTTATTTTGTCCCAGATTTCTATATCCTTAAATCAACAAGAGGTTACTTGGGCTTTTTTTAATCTTTTTGAGAATTCAACAAGTCAAGGCTGCTTGAAAGTTACTGGTAAAAGTTCACAAGCGAGGCCCCAGACATGGTCAAATGAACAAATTAGTTATATGAAATAATAAAGGAAGGACATGTTGTATTGGGTAGACTAATTTCAGTTGCTTCCCAGAATCTTACAAAAATATGAAGAAATGGGAGAAGAAGATAAATTTGTGTCTAACATTTAGGGTGGGAGCAATTCTCTAAAGGCCTATTATATCATGATGGAGAGTGATTTATCAAGGTGTTTGCTGGCTAGAATGGAAAGGAGCCTTGCCACAATGCATACACCCATTGCTCTACCTGAACATGTAAAAGTTTATTGAGCAATTTGCTAAACCAAGGACTACCTGCATCTTCATGTGTCTTTTTTTTTTTTTTTTTTTTGGGTGTGTGGTTAGAGAGGGTCTCCTCAGCTTTGATGTGATGAGGGAAGGTGGCATAACAAGAATTTGCAGTACCCCAGTCTGCTACCAGATTCAATGCTAATCAATATTCTCAAGGCTCAGGTCATCTAATTACTTTCAAATATGACATTTTTTCTGCAACTTCTACTTAACTGACTGTTTTCAGAACTGCCACTGCTAGGTGTCATCTTAAAAGCTGCATACCAGAGTATTCAATCTTCATGAGATGCTTTTGGTTATTTCATGATTCAGTTTTGTGTTTGCCATTGGGTATCAACAACATTTGTTCCTTGCATACCTATGTCACAGGAGTTTCTGGGGGCTTCTGGAGCCAATCAATCCTAGGACTACTCCTCAGCAGCACAGGAAACTGGGACTTGGCATTCCCAGCCTTCTGACTGAAATCCAACAGATCAACCCCATCTATCTTTCCTGTGTATCACAGAGGAGCATAAATCAATAGTAGTGACAGAACGGCCCAGAGAGTCCTGGTGAATGGCATTGCATCCAACTAGCAGATGTCACAGGTGGTGTTCTCCAGGGCTCAGTATTAAGACCAGTCCTGTTTAGTATCTTTAACTATGACCTGGATGAGGGGATGGAGTGCACCCTCAGTAAGTTCACAGATGACACCAAGGTGGGCAGGAGTGTTGATCTGCCGGAGAGTAGGAAGGATCTGCAAAGGTATCTGGACAGGCTAGATCAATGATTAAGGCCAATGGTATGAGGTTCGAACTGACAGATCCTTGGGTCACAACGACCTCATACAATGCTAACAGGCTGGGGGAAAAGCGGCTGGAAAGCTGCCTGGTGGAAAAGGACCTGGGGGTGCTGGCTGAACATGAGCCAGCAGTGTGCCCAGGTGGCCAAGAAGGCCAAGGGCATCCTGGTTTGTATCAGCAACAGTGTGACCAGCAAGATGGGGGAAGCGACTGTTCCCTGTGTTCGGCACTGGTGAGGCCACACCTCAAGTACTGTGTCTAGTTCTGGGCCCCCTCACCGCAAGAAATGCACTGAGGTGCTTGAGTGAGTCCAGAAAAAGGCAATGAAACTGGTGACGGGTCTGGAGTACAAATCTGAAGAGGAGTGGCTGAGGGAACTGTGGGTGTTTAGCCTGGAAGAATGGAGGCTTGGGGATGACCTGTTGCTCTCTACAACTACCTGAAAGGAGATTGTGGTAAGTGGGTGTCCGTCTCTTCTCCCAAGTAACAAGTGATTGCACAAGACAAAACAGCCACAAAAGTTGCGTGAAGGAAGGTTTAGATTGCATATTATGAAAAGTTTCTTCGCCAAAAGGGTTGTCAAGCACTGGAACAGGCATCTCAGGGAGGTGGTGGAGTCACCAACCCTGGAGGTATTTAAAAGATGTGTAGATGTGGCAGTTAGGTATATGGTTTAGTGGTATACTTAGCAGTGCTGGGTTCAGTTGGATTCAATGATCTTAGAGGTCTTTTCCAGCCTAAATGATTGTATTATTCTGTGAAAATTCGTGGAATCATCCTTCCCGCAGGGATGCTGATAGGCTCTTTCTTCAAGCATGCATGCTGGAATATAATGAGGAAAGAGAACGATGCAGTAGTTCGTACTCAATTTCTCATCAGGGATGGACCACCTGGACAGTGGTAATGGGGTTGATTTTTCTACAGACCATTTTATTTTAACTTCTCATGTGAGATTTTTTTGTTTGAGTAGTCTAGCTCTGCTAGGCACAGCTGGGGACACTCCCAAACCTGCTTGTTGTGGCCCAAGGAGGTGATTGAGCACAATGTATGCTTTAGAGATCTGTGAGACCTCTGAGAGAGGCTCTTTGACTCCTCTGCCATTTTTTTGTTGACTGTATTTTTAGCAGTATTTTTGCATGCATGTATTTTTATGTCTGTAGCAATTTTATCTATGTTCTCTCTGGTGTCCAAGATAGCTCACTTCCTTGATGAGGTTGTTACTCTGTCACAGCTTTTAAGTTGCTCATAATGAAAGAAATTTAGTAAGAATACAAGCTGTTGCTTCATAAATCTCTTCTTGAAAAAAACCCTCTAATATTTCTTATCCTGTGTATTGGCTTATTTGAGCATTTATTTATTTCCTGTGATCAGTCTTGCCTCTTGAGTATGTCTCAAATGAGACATAATGAATATACCAGGACTGTAGTATGTCTTGTTAAAATGTAATTGATAAACCACTTCTAGGATGAAGAAATGTAGCTCTAGTTGTAAATGTGAGTTATTCACAATCCCCTGGGTGCTCAAATTGCGCTTCAGTTTTGGGGAAATTCAAAGAGTGGAGTTGCCACTTCTTCTGGGAGAGGACCTGCAAAAATGGTGTCAGCCCACATGCTTTTTTGTCTTTTTGTTTTGGTTTGCACATGGAAAATTAGTTTCTGTGGGCCGTGCAGTAGGTTTGTGGAAGACGAGAGGCTGGGAAAGCAGGCAGAGCTGCGTTTCTGAGAGACCTGGGCAGGCTGGGGAAATGGACTGATACAGACATTGGGAAGGTCAACAGAAGCAAATGTGAAGTTATGCCTCTGGGGCAGAATGATCCCATCTTGTGAAGTGTACGACGTAGCTAACCAGCAGTCAGCACGTGACTCTGCAACACAGGAGGCCTTGGCTGTATAAGCAAAGAGTGCAGTGAGCAGTGCAAGGGGAGTGATTAGAGTGATTATAGTGATACTAGTGATTATAGTCTCCTCTACTTGGGACTGGTGAGATCCCACCCAATCTGGGTCTCCCCACTACAAGAGAGAGAGGATCAAACTGGAGTGTGTCCAGTGGAGGTCACCAAGTTAGTTGCGGGCCTGAAGCACAGAGCATTGAGCAAGCAGAAGGCCAGAATGGAGATGACAGGATGACTTCAAACAGCCGGTAGACAGATTAGATGGGTTGCCAGTCCCTGAAGGCTTATCAAAACACACAGTGAAAATCCATGGACAAGCTGGACCTCCATTCCTAGGACTGGGTTCTTTCCACTGTAAAACAGTGAACAGCATGCTGCTAAGGATGTGTCATGTCACTTCCATGCATGACAACCAGCTTGCCTCCTCAATGCGAGCAAAATATGCATTGGGTAAGGATGGCAGGGAACAAAAAGCAGCAAACAGCTGACTCAAAGCACAGGAGTACTTTCCTGTAGGCAGGAAAGTAGCAAAGCCTAGGGTTGTTGTCCATTTTTTAGGTGATTATTTATCAGTTATTTTTATTGTTGAAATCCATTGCAGCATTCTCCTTGATGGAGAACAAGTCAGCTGATTTCCCTTTCTCTTTCAGTGTTTCAAAGATACATATGTGTGAGATATGGATATGTACATGTACATTTACCTGTATATATGTATGCACATGTATGTGCACATATATAGCACTAAGAAACAGCATGAGTCTGAAAGACGGGGGACACCTCTGAGTATTCTTGAAGGACAAACTGAATCTGAGAGGTATGCAAATGCCTGACCTTGTTTTGGAAAGGGAGGGCTACTGTAACCCATCTGGTACATCCTTCAGATGCTTTGCCTTTGCACAAGCGTAGTCTGTTATTTGTCAGGAAAGTCTGTAGAGGGAGGGTTTTGACCACAATAAAAGAGCCCACCGTAACAGTTATCAGCCAAAAGGAGATGGCTTTCTCCCCAGGCACAAGGCACTCTGGCTGTGTGCAATCATAGCTTATAGTAAATTACAGATTCTTTCCTACCTCTCACCCCATTAAATCTATCTCATAGAGCCTTTCCCACACCTCAGCTTCCTTGCACTGACAGCTAGACCCTGAAATGGCTAGAGCAGCCTGTTATAAGTACACTTGGACATGTCCAAAGAAGGAAACGTGATGGCACGAAGTAGTAGTACTTACCTTCTGACAATGATAGGATCACCAGAGCTGCCTCATGATTAGTAAATAGAAACATATGTTGTGCTCACCATACCACCATAAACTGCAACAGCATTGGCAGGTCCTGCTTTCATTCGTTTGGCTCAGCTGTGATCTGTGATCCTGGTGCCTGCAACACTGAGTTGCATGCCATGATGTCTGAAGCAAAATCACTGTTCTGTGCAGCACAGTGACCAGATAGCCTGAGGAACCATACTATCACAGCATTGCATTGCCTGTGAGCAAAACCATGCAGCCAGTAAAGAGCATCCTCTGTGCTGGTCTGATACAGAAAGCAGAGTTGGTGCAGTGTGCTGAAAAAGGCATTAAGTTGTTGGCTGACTGTGAATTTCCTTTGCAGCTTACCAGGTGACATTCCCCAAACGGTGAAGGGTGTGTGTCAGCCAGCCCAGAGAAGGTAGTTGCTGCTGCCACCACTGTTTCACCGCCTTGGTGAACCATGATGTTCCCAAGCCTGAGCATATGCCTCTTGTTGCCTCAGCAGGGACCTCTTGCAAGCTAACTTTACGGTAGGTGTTGCATAGAAGATGGGACAAATTTATTTCAGACTGACAGAGCAATAAAAAATGCTCAGGGCTAGGAAAATTCCCAAATGAAGACACAAAGAATCAATGGAGGTATCAGGGAGTTATGAATTCCTGTCAGATGGCAGATGTAATGTCTAATTAGTCTCTGACCCAGCACATTATTTGCTGTCTCTCTGTTCCCTTGAGCTCTGAGACTTTCACAAAAAGGGCTTTTTTTTTTCTTCCCTCTCTGTGATTCTCCAGAACTCCCTATGCATCTTTTGAGGGTAATTCCCAATGACACCCTACATTATACAACTAAGTTGGAGCCTTCAGTCCCTGGACTTTACAATTTGGTATTTTTCCTTGTAGTAAATCTTAACCATCACTACAACTTGTCATCTGGTTAAAGATGCCAGTGCCATTTCTTTAACACCTCCTAATTGAGCCAATATGGCATAAAAGTCTCACTTCAGAAAGGGCAGTAATGAGGCAACCGTAGTGTTTGGGAGACTGGCTTCTCTCCTCTCTTTCTGGGATGACAGAGCTCTATTGTAAACTAAACAGGATGTCCCTGTATCCAAATACAGAAGGGCAGAACACTCTGCTACCTAAAAAATTACATTTGTTGGAAATAAAGATGCCATTAAGCGCAGAGAGAGTACAAAAGGAGCAGTGGCTTCTGAATAACAGGTAACTTTAGGGGCAAGTTTAAGCTGAACTGAATGATAGGTATATTAACTCAAAAAACTGCTTTGCAAAAGGAAAGTACTCAGAGCAATTCTCTTGGTGTCTCTCTACAGATAAGTAAGACTTCAAGGGTCTATATCTACCTGTCTGTACTTCCTCCTTACTTCTTCCTATTCATCATTCACAGCAGATGCAGGATCTCTGTCTCTCCTCCCTGGTCTCACAACCCTCCTCTTCCGAAACGAGGGATTTCAAACAGAGAATAACTATCAGCAGCCAACAAAGAATAATGTTTGTCCGTGCTGTGTTCGATTGCTTTCTTAGCTCAACAATTTCATAGCTGTCTTGAATGGTGTGGCTCTAAACCGCAGGACTAATTGCTATAACAAGTTATGAAGATACTCCTCTATCTGACTAATTTCCCAGTTCCTACAGATTTGTACATTGTGGCATCACTCAGAAATAAAAACATCATCTGGACAAGGCAGATACATGGCAGATGCTGGTCTTTCTGCAAAATTTGCCTGAATGTACAACAGGAAGTTCATGCCAAATTTATTATGGCTAGGGGAAGACAGGTGGGACCTGCTCTGACACAGAGCATATATGGAAAAATAATGACAGATTTTTTTTCATATATCTGAACCAGTGGACTGTTTGTCAGCCCACAGCCTGTGGTGGTTTGGAGCTGGTACTCAGAAACCAAAGCTGGTGGTGTAGTTTCAGCTGCAGTGTGGGTCACACAGCTATACTCTGTGAATAAGATGACACAAATCTCACATTTCTGCCAAGTCTTAAAGCTTAAAAAATCTTGATTTTGGTTTCATTTACACAGACTCTCCTCCCTTCTGCTGCTGAAAAAGACTAGGAATCTCCCTATGCATGTTTAAAAAGCTGTTTCCTGAATTTGCCAGCCTATGGTTTTCATAAACATCAAAGTCATAGACAGCCCAAGGCATGGCTTTTACCTTTGGTTCTTACTGTTCCTCTTGCTCTCGCATATCTTTTGAGAGCCCTTACCACGTTTCTCTCTGCTCTTTCTACCTGGGCAGGACCTTACACATCTCTCAAGTTGATGCACAAAGAAACACTGGTATGCAGTAGCAAAATTTATGTCCACAACTGTCATTTTCCAAGGGCATCCCTGAAGACAGTGAGATACATAGCACACCCAAAACTGGGCTGAGCCTCTCTCTCTTCAGAGAGGCCACATACACATGCAACCCTGAAAGTATTTGATGTTCCTTGTGTGTGTGTGAATGTGCACATTCTTTGCAAGGTCATCTGCTCTGCTCCTCCACCTCTGTGAGGATCAAGCCCGTCTCTGCCACGATGGTCCCACGGTGTGCTGACCTGAGACAGCCCAGAAAACACCACAAAGATACAAGAGAATTTGTTTCAGGTGCTCAGGTAAAGGAAAGATAGATCCCAAAGTCTGTCTCTGCAACAGGGTGCTTCAGTGTCTCAGATGAGTGATAGTTTATAGCTGCCTCCTTGGTCTGCTCTGTTGAGGTGATGTGAACAGCGTTTTGAGAACCAACGTTTAGAAAGGCAGCAGCTGAAATGCTGCATCAGCTCCTCATAACCCACTGTAGATTGAGCAGAAGATACTCCTGGCAGGAAGGAAATCCTCGAGGCAAGTGCATCTTCCTACGGGATGTGAGACAGCATGAGCTCACTGCATGTGGTTCTTTGCATGTGGTCTTTCTTGCTCCTCTGCAAGGACCATGTGAGAAGGACCACATGAGGTACACTGCTGCTGTCTCAGTGAGAGCAACTACCCCTGCTCAAAGGCTGTTCCTTTGTTTCAGCCATATCACATTGCATTTGGTAATTCCAAAGCCTGAGCTAAGTAAACTCCAAGTCAAATGCTTCTCTGCAGTATCTCCTTCAAATTACTCCTTCCTTCATCAGAACCTTCCTGACACTGAGAAGCAAATCTGTTGCACTCAGCTTCATGAAGTACTTGCTCAGACTGTACACTGTTGTCAGTGGCACTTTCTAGTCTTCGTGCCATAGATTTAGAGCATTTGGATGTTCAGAGGATTGTATCTGTTCTGCCAGCCAGATATGCTGCAGCAGGACATCGCTCATCTTAGCAAGGCACAGGTCTCTCTTCAGCTCCTCACTGACCCACAGTCCTGGGTAAATAACCATGCTGCAGATAATCAGCAAACTGGACACATACTAAGGCACAAAAGCTATCCATGGGAACTTCATCCCCACTGTAGTAAGGCCCAGGTCCATCTTCCCAGGATGCAAGCCCCCTTTAGCTTTTTTGTTCAGCCCCCTGGACTGCCATGCCAAGTGCCAGCTCCCTGTCACACAGTGGGTTGCTCCAGCATGTGCGGCACAAGGGTATCACTTTTCTGCCTGGTGATTCTTTCAGGAGTGCTTTTACTATGCAGATCTTTCACACAGTGCTGCTCCTGTTTATTGTCTGTTGGGGGTTCCTGGAGACACGGAAGCTGTCACTCCCCAGTTTGGGATGCTATTTTTAAGGCTAGATGCAAGGGCCTCTATGGCATTTTTAAAGCTGCCCATCTGAGAAAGTTTCTTCTAGCTCTAGAGCTGGCTTTTACTTCTCAGGTCAATATTCAGCCTGCACCATCATCATCAAAAGGCAGACTCTTCAACCACAAGATGGGTTTAAAAATGACATTATTAATATTTTTGGGCTTGTATCTGTATTTGCTAATTTTTTTTTAACTCCAGGTTAGAAGCAGATCAAGACTAGGAAATATTATCTCCTTTCCTTTTAAATGAATGATCTGAGGTTTTTTTAATTCATGTGCTCCAAAGTTCAGCCTTTGAGAGAAAGACTGAATATCCCGTAAATCATGCATAATACATATGCATAAGGGAAGAGCATGTTACACATGGCAATCCACATCCTTGGCTGTGTGGCTTTTTTAGTACTTACTTGTGTGTCAAGGACAAAGCACAAGAACCTGTGGTGAAAGCCAAGTTCTAATAGAAATGTGTTCCCTTGCCCAAATTATGAGACAGCCGTAACAGTACTGCTAGGAGTGCAGTTGAGGGTGATGTGCCCCATACTGTTTGCTACTCTACATTTTCCCACCAGTGTTTGTGCTTATTTTAGATGGAATATTAATGGGAATGTACCCAGATGGTAAACTCTTCTTTTAAGTTAAATAAATAATTACTATTTTCAGTCCTTACCTGTTTGTTGGATAAGGGCATTCCTGGCCTCAGACAAGGTTTTCTCTCGTTGCCCATTGGGGAAAATATGGAGTGGGGACTGTAACTTGCCCTCTCACTACTCCCTTGCTTCAAAGGGAGGAGTTTTCCATGGCACTTGCCAGAAACAAAGATTGAAGATGAGCCAGAGAATTGACTCTACCATAACAGGGCAATGCAGCCCAAAACTGCATCTGCGGGGACCTCAGCTTTAGCAGTGGCTGAAGATGGATGAAGATGACTACGAGTACATTGCTACTCTCCAGGCTTAGCTCTGAAGCCCAACAATTTGCCACCCAGTGAGTGTGGCATCCATGCCCATTGCAAGGGGTTGGAACTAAGTGATCTTTAAGATCCTTTTCAACTCAAATCATTCTATGGTTCTTTGAATTCAATTCAAAAGAAGAACTGTCAGTGACTGTAACAGGTTTTTGGGTCCAGGTATGGTACGAGTTGGTCCATACGGGTACAGAATCACAGAATCAACTAGGTTGGAAAAGACCTCTGAGATCATTTAGGTCCAACCTATGACCTAACACCACCATGTCAACTAAACGATGGCACTAAGTGCCAACTCCAGTCTTTTCTTGAACACCTCCAGGGACAGTGACTCCACCACCTCCCTGGTCTGCCCATTCCACTGTCCTGTCACTCTTTCTGTGAAGAACTTCTTTCTAATGTCTAACCTAAACCTCCCCTGGGCACAGCTTAAGACTGTGTCCTCTTGCCCTATTGTTGGTTGCATGGGAAAAGAGACTGATGCCCACCTGGCTACAACCTCCTTTCAGGTAGTTGTACAGAGTACCTCTCCAGCTAGCTGAACTTGGGGTACTGGGACAAGTTTCACTCTTGTCTAATGTTTCACATCTGCCCAAAGTAAGTGTCACACAGAGCAACAGTAGCTGTATTTCATGTGTTTTAATAAACTACCAGAAAAATATGTTTGGATGTGTTTGTTCTCCTTCCACTTAAACTAAAATAGGTAAAATTGAAACCAAAACAATACCAACCCCAAAACAGGAGAAAAAAACCTGTCCAAGAGCAAAGATGACACACTATACTGAATTGCAGAAAAAGGTCTTTGATGAAATTCATGGGTAAAGAAATCATGTTTGTAAAACACAGTGAATAATAAAATGGTTACTGACTTGATTGGTTTTCCACTCTGTGTATATCTGTGTAGCTACATACGTATCTATGCTGATACACCCTTAGAGGGATGAAATGGTACTTCTGTAAGACAAAACAAAAGCTGATTGTGGGGAGGGAGTAAAGAAGTAAATAAATACATCCTTTCAGTCAGTGAAGTAAAGACAATGCTCTAATCCCCTACAATGTACCATTGCTCTGCTTATCGAGGGGCAGGCTTGTCTCTCCATGGCTACGCAGTGTCCCTGGGCCACAGATGAGCTGTGAGCTCTGAATGGTCTCCTTCACTGCTCTGTGTATGAGTAGGACCTCGGAAGTATATGAAGCATTCCTTCCTCTGGTTAATTCCCATGCTTTACTATGATTTTTAATTAAAAAATTTATTAGTACTTCAGTTTACATTTTTTCCCCTAAGTTTCTTGCAGTGACTGCTATGCAGGTCTCCACAGTAAGGTAGAGCAACCCAAATGAGCAATATGCCACAGGAAAATGCTATTATCACAATATGACTGGATGGAAGAATTCATTTTACAACAGATCTCATGTTCTTCAACCTTGCACTCAGTCTGTGGAGCCAAATCATGCAGTAACCTCAGCAGTTCTTTATTGAGTGGACCTGTGGGTCACACCTTACTCCAAAAACAAGGAAGGGAAAGAAATATACTTTTTATTTCCTTTTCTCCTCCCATGGAAACCTACCCCAAAAAAGAAGAGTAGGCAATACGACTCCACGCTGAGGTGTCTGCTTCATTCTTAGGCAGATGAGTCCTGCATTCAAAACACAAAAAACGCCATAGTCTTTCTCCTATTGTTACAATGCTCTTTCATAGAACCAGCTTTCCCAGATCTCAGTGCCGTGCTTAACAAGCAAAGGACAAGCTCATGCTGGCTGCAAAGTTCAGGTCACCAAGAAGGTATTAAGAGAACAGCTTGATTTGCCAGCTGCTTGCAAACGCTGTAATTGCAAAGAAGGCAAAGGTGAAACACCCCTCTCCACACCTCTCCCAGCTTCCTTCCTTTTATTTTTTCTTTTTTTATTTCTTTCTTTTATTTTTCTTTCTTTTTCTCTCTTTTACTCTTTCATTCTTTCCTTCTTTCTTGTACAGGGGTTCATGAAGAAAAGCAAGACTTGTGCATCACAAATGGTGGAACCACCCCAAACCCAGACAGCTTCCCACCCTACAATAATGCACAAGCCCATCTCATCCTGTACCTGTCCCCAGAAGGTGGTTTGTCTCTTGATCTTTTTGGAAAATAATGCAGTCTGATCTGTTGGGGACTTCCGCAGTTCAGGTGCTGAGAGGCTGGTTCTCTCCCCTTTCCTAAGGCTCATAAATGATTGTTTTTGGAGAGATAAGCAATAAGAGCCACAGCCACTCCAACATAAATGCCAGTTCCGATCGTGATGGACAGGACAGCCAGGAAGAGTGCTCGCCGGGAGCTGGAGCTTGCATGGTGGAAGTCCCCCTTGGCTACTGCTTTGTTTGTCTGCAAGAGATACAACAACAAAAATGCAATATATTTATTTGTTTTATCTGGAAATGAAGATGAGATGTGTGATGTTAATTTCTTGGCTGAAATATGATCCTGGGATATGAGAGTGAACTGGTTAGAAATCAGACACTTTTTTAGTCAGATGAGGTTATTTACACAATAGAATGGTGATGGAACCAATGGCATCTCAGAGGAGGGTGTAATTTTTATAGACCATGGTGTGGTATCAGCAAAGGTCATCTGTCAGGCAGTAAGAGATCTGTCACCTACAAGATAGCTTTTGCAGAAGCATATGAGCTCCATAAGTTCTGAGACAGTCTTTGTTCCCTCATTACAAGGAGTAAGGAATTCACAATGTTTAATTGTATGTCTCCACAAATGCTCAATTTGCTGGAACAGTTTCTTCTTCGGTGTCATCTATTACTCTATTTTTGTCTTTTTGGTTTTTTTTTACTACCTTGCTACTCAGAGCAATTTACAGCAGCCAAACTACAACCTTCCACACCGAAAAAAAAAGCTTATGGCCTTTCTGCCAATGCCTTTATTAACAGAACCATCTCTTTGCATTCATCAAACTAATTTTTTAGGCATAATGCTTTATAAATGTTTCAGGCAGAAACAATGTCAAACAATACATATTTAAGGAGAGACAGACTAGGCTGCAGGCTGGAGGTAAAATATAATTTCAAACCAGCAAAATATAAACAAGACCAGGCTTACACCTGCTGTCATGTCCTTTAGTTTAGGTGGGGTAAGCATCCTACTCACTTTGCAAAGGATGTCCAGCCAAGCCCCTCAGCAGGGTGATCAAGGATTTAATGAGCTTCTTGTCTGGGACTTCTAAACACTCAAAAGAGCAGCCCTTTCCAGAAAAACTCCTGGGGCTTTGGGGATCATGGCTATATTTGTTAGGGTTGCTTAAAAGGCAAGGAAAGCAGAGAAAGCTTTAGAAAGAGCTGGTCATTCAGCTCTCCTGAAAGATTGTCTTCAAGCACCTGCTACCCATCACATCATTACTCTTGAGCAGAAAGGCTTCTACTTACTGAACTTTGGTCAAATTTGTCAGGCTGAGGGAAATGCACAGCACTGGAGCTATTTAAGCTTTTGGATAAACCAAGGTAAACAGTTTCAACCCCCCAAATGGAGAGAAAGTTTAAAAATTATGAACATTTAAATTTTACATTTTTTAAATGTCACATTGTTATGGAAAATTCTGCAACATTTGGGTTTACCTCTTTTAAATGAAACTTTGTAGAGTTTCAAACCAGCATTTTTTCACTTAAAATTAGATGGAAACTCAAAGGGAGAATAAAACATTAATCAAAAGGTCAAATAAACTGAAAATTTGACAGTATGTCTTGCTTGCTTCAACAGAAGAGGTTTGATCTACCAAAAATGATGAGCTGAGCAACCCAAAGGGTTGCTGATTTGCCAAATACTAACAACCTTTTCCCTGATAGGATCTTCAACCTAGTGACAAACTTGCTCTCAAAGAACACGTTTTTTTCTCGATGAGCTCTCTGAGGACAGCCTTGAGCTTCGTGAAAGTATTTGACCTATTGTGAAAACCTAGCCAAAACTACGTGACTTGTATTAGTCACACACTATCATGAACTTGTTGACTTTTGCATCTCCTGACATTATGACACAGCATGATTTTGCTTGGGGAACAGGCCTGTGCTTTCACAGAAATTCTAGTTTCCAACAAATTATCTAAAATGAGTGTATTTTTTTCCTCTTAACCTAATGCATATTGTATGATTTAGCAAAATCAAATCCCTCCTATATGGAATTTTGACTGTAGACTGGTAAGGCACATGAGAAGGATAATCTTATATTCCTCCTTTATTCAATTCAGAAAGATTTCCATTGAGATGGAAAAACTATCAACACAGAGACCATCCTCCATCAGAAAGACTAGTCTGAAAGAATTTGCTAATCACTAAGAAAATTCTTTGATGCTATTCCCTAATTAGCAAAAACATCACATACTACTCAATGTCACTATATGCAAATTACAGCATTTCTGCAGGTTTAAACTAAATGGATCTGAAAAGACTTAGTACCCAAAATGCAACTAAGGCCAAATTTAATATTTTAGCATCTGGCAACTAATAAACAGTTTTCCTTGATTTTTTTCTTTTCAAGCAGAGATCAGATCTTTGGTATATCTGTTCACTTTGAGAAAGTCCCTTGGTTTTGGTACTAATCCAGCTACTTATGACCCAGCCCACTTGATGCCTGACACAAAGAAATGACACTCTGTTGGGTGTTTCCACATCAGGGATGTCTGTGCTCTAGCAAAATCCATGGGACAAAAAAATGTCTTGTGTAGATCAGAGAGCTAAGTCAGACCCAGTTTCACCAACTTCTCCTTGGTGTTGTAGAAAAGGTGAAAACAATGGTCACTAAATCTAAAAAGAAACCAGGACATCTCAATGCAGACAGTGGTCAGGCTGTTTGCTTGACTTCATAGTGTTTCAGGTACTGTTAGCTGAAAGATAAAACTTGTCTGCTTAAAAGAACTGCCCACCTAAGCCCACAATTAAACAAGTACAGAGAGTGATATCTTTTGCAGATCCCCCTGGTAATTGCTGCCAATCACAACACTGGAACCTCGGGCATCAAAACAAACTTAGTCTTCATTTTTGACATGTTTTTGGTTCAAATGAGAAAGGTTTTCACCGTGGTTAAAATTCCTCAGAAATAGGAAAAAAATAATTTTAGCTAATTCAAGAAAAAAATGTATTTCAGATAAAAATATTGAGTAAGTAAAATATCCCACCAAATTTCAGTTAAAATTGTGGTCACATTTATGGTGTGCTAGAACGTAAACTAGTGGAAGTGCAGTGCAGATGTGTGAGTCTCGTGTTGTCCCTGCTTTCACTAAACAGCCCTGCCCTGAATAACCACAGTGACTATGATGGACATGCTCTGGGCTGCCTGGCTGCTACGGACATCGCAGTCTACACAGATGCCTCTCCTGAGATGACAAATCCCTGCATCCACCCAGGAGTTTCTCCTCATTTAGAGGTAGG